CCCCACTTTTTCGACTGCGTCCTCAAAGGGAGGACAACGATTTGCGTTTGGGATACGGGCAGTTTAGATTGGACATTGCTCTTATCAAGAATTGTATTCAATGACTCCAATAAAAGATGTTTTACAAATGGTCATTTAATAATTACTAAACCTTTAGGTGATTCCTTAGCGAGTATTACTTGGCTGGTCCGTGCCAGGAATTCTGAAGTACTTACTTTGAACATACTAAGAGTATTTTAGGACCCTTACTCATACATCTTTCTTATAATCGCTATTAACCGTCTTTTAGTTAAAGACGATTAGACCGCTGTTAAGAGACGCCGTACTCATACCTTCTTTTAAGACCACTATTAATTAAGAGCGCGCTATTAGGAAAATGGACGTGGCAACGTTGCATAGACACGGCGGCCGCGCCACGCGCATGCGCATTGCGCGAGCAAGCCTAAAATTTGAAACGACGCTCATGTTGCCGCGATACGAAAAATTAGCTTCTGTGAAAGGTAGTACCTGATTGGTCGTATATGGTTTCCGTTTGAATTGTAGACCAATGAGGTTCCTTCTTACAATCAGTTTCGTTGTTTTATATGTAAGCGTAATTGAACGCTATTATCTAGCTGATCAAAGAGATCTTCAAACGTAAGTACAGATATCTCATTTGAATGTGATACAATTATTTATGTAATCGATAATAAATATTGATGGAGGATTATCATATGCAACAATGCTTTAGATGTCAGCTGAAAGATCAAAAAGGAGAAAGAAATTCAGTGAAGAAGAGAAACAGCGGATTCTTGAATTCGTTCAAGAAAACGTGAGCATCTTGGAGGACAAGCATAGTCATCTACGAAGCCAAGACAAAAAGAAACGGAAGTGGAAAGAGTTGGCAGAGACCATGAAAGCTACTGGACCCATCCGTGACTAGAAGGATTTACGCGGAGCTTATCAACGGTGGAAAGGGATAGCAAAAAAAAATATTTCGGCCTACAAGAGACAGCTAAAATCTACTGGTGGAGGACCATCTACCACGAAGCCGTCGGAAACAGATTTTCTGTTATCAGAAATGTGTCCTGTGGACTTCGTGGTAGATGAAAATCCATTCGACAGTGATGACGTAGTAAGTTATTTGTTATAATTTATTATATTCATATAATTTAGAATTTTTTTATAACTCATGTCTGTGTTTTGTTAAACAGCGCGATAAGGACCAGGGTTGAGATGTCGTCGTTGTAGAAGACAACGACGAAGGCGACATCTTTAAATACATCCTGGATCCTGCAACCGGGTAAATTTCCATAATCTCGTTATTCTAAAGCATATTGGTTATAATAATATGGAAAATTAATAATTTAAAATATTTTCAGAGAACTTCTTTTGGAAAACAAGGAACCGCAGCAGACTGTCAGCAACATGCCGACGACTTGAGCCCTCGGAAAGTGGCTTCATCTCTGAACCACCTCCAAAGAAGAGGAAAAAAGAGATGACGGCGTATGAGGAGAGCCGGCTGCGGCTACAAGAAAAGAAGCTCCAGGACGCCATCAAATTTCAAAGAGAAGAGCATGAGGCGAAAATGAAGTTAATTGCCGCTGAACTTAAATACAAGGAGGAACATTACGCATTAAGTTTGGAAGCGGTAAAAAAATCTAATGAAGTCTTCATTGCGGATTGAGCTTTTGCGATTGCAATTGCAAAAACTGGAGAATTCTTCATAAGGATTCAGGCTTTTGTCTTTGCCGTCGGAAAAGTGCAATTATCCAGTAAATTCTCTTGATTAGATCTGCTTACTTATTTAAAGTAATGTTTTGACTTAATTTATATTCGGCGATTTTGGTTGACTTCATTTGAACTTTCATGTAACTCTCTTTGAAATTAATACTGTCGAACCTCTATCAGTTAGTTATAGCTATCTGTAGGCCAAATATTTTTTGCGAACGGGTGGCGCGTCTTAGGACCGTTGGCGTCGCCCCCGGATCCGTTAATTTCTTAGTGATAATTTTGTGAACGAGAGACCCGTCTTAGGTTGTTGGCGTGGTCCTCGCTTCCGTAGTATTCGTGTTTAGTTTTAGTGTAACCCGGCCTTTTCCGAATTGGTTAAAGTATTTAGTGACAAAGAGAGTGCGTTGCACTCGTGGTACTCCCGCGAGGGATACTTGGCGCCCAACCCGTGATTTCGTGTTGGTGATAGGAGGTAGAGAGAGGGAGGACCATTGCGGGTCGTTTTTGCTAACGGGAGATCTATTGGCCACCGATTGGTATTTCGTTTTTGGGTTGGTTTGGGAAAAATCTTAGGTACCAAAATTTGGTGCCCCTTCGGGGACACGGAAGACAGAGATCTTACTTTGCACCACATTCATTTTCAGCTTGTTCCTATTCATCCATCCTTCTACTATACATAGTCCCTCGTTCATCTTTCTTTCCACCTCTGCGCTACTTTCTCCTGTTACGTATATTAATATATCATCAGCAAACAACTTTATTGCACAATCTTCCGGATATATGTCGACTATATCATTTATATATTGTGACGTACTGGACCACGAAAATGGCCCAGGGTCTCGCAAGAACAACTATCTGGACCACGAAAATGGCCCAGGGTCTCGCAAGAACAGCTATCGCAAATACCACGGGAAAGGGGGAACGCAAAAGGAAGTGGAACATGGTGTAAAGTAGAGGAGAATATAATTAATACTAAAAGTGTCAATACAAAGAAAAGAATAGAACCGCAAAATAATCAGAACTTAATACAATAGAAAACTAAACCGCTCCGAACACGCTAAACTAAACAATGACAGGCGGGCTCACGCAGGAGCACGCGGTGTCACATCGGACCTTTAAACGGGCTAGTGGACGAAGGGAATCAGGGAACGGGGAAGCAGGGTATTAGCGAGGGGACAGGAGGGACAGGAGGGCTTACCGGCAATAGATATCTCAAAAACAACAAATGGGCGCCAGCTACTTGTTCGGCGTAGCACCGTCGAGTGACCTCGGAAGGTCCTCGAATATTTACTCTAACGCGAAATGGCATGGCTAGCAGGGGAGGGGGTGAGGGGGTCTCAGGGAGGAAGGTTCCCGAACGCGATAATGGCTACTTGCAAATACCTCGGGTTATCTACAACATTCAAAAACGGCGGGGAAGGGAAAAGAAGCACGGGGGTTTCCCAAAAAGGGCGAAAACTACTCTAGAACGCACGCAATATACCACTGGCCGCACGCGACTGGCGGAAGGCGAGACTAAAACTCAAAAAGATAAGCTACGCAAAAAGGCCGGTCCACGTGGGGATGGCTCGCCAAATCCAAAAGGGGAAATCCACGATCTATTAAAACGCAAAAGCAAAGGAGGTAGGGGAAAAAGGTGGGAGGTAGGGAAAACTCAATCACTCAATACTCACACAACGATTCCGCAACACTCGATATAATCCAAATTCACAATCATCACTCACACTCAAATTCAAACTCGCACACTCTATTTCGTATCGCAACCCGGCTCGAAGTGAAGATCTCTTGCCGATTTCCGGTCCTCGCTGTTTCCGTTCACAGGCCTCCAGGGCCTCGGGGGTTGGTTGATCGCTGGGCTGAGAGGGCTACGCGCTCTGGCATTGGTCGGCAGTTCCGGCATGGCAGGGTATTGGTCCTTTCCGCTGGCGGGCCTTCCAGGCCCTCGCGGGCGGGTGGCACGG